GATCGTACCCCCCTTGGGGGTACATCTTCCTTACCTGCCACGCGCATTTAGTGCAGCCCCTGAAACAGGGGAAGCGAGGACGGATGGCATGGAAAGAGAAAATGATGGAGCACGGGATTAGCAGGAGGGGGGCTAGGAGCAGAAAACACGTAGCAGAACCGGACGGGCCAATCGGGCGGGTAGACCCTAACGGGCGGGTCGGGAAGGCGGGCCCAACCGGCTATGTCGAGAAGGCGTGTTGCTGAAGCGTGGGCACTGCATGAATCGCGAGGAGAGCTCGGGCGATAGCGCGATTCTCAATTAAATCGTGACGAAGGCCACAGCGAGAGCGTGATTGCTGGGTGTCGATGGCGCGGCGTCTGAGTAACTTGCGGGAAAGTCCCACGCGAGAGCACGATTCCTGCATGAATTGTGAGGAGTTCCAGAACGAGAGCGCGATTTGGGAATAGTGAGTTGTGAAGAAGTATCAGGCTGGACACGTTGTTGCTGTAGTGCGAGCCCCGAGGGGGCACTTCAATTGAAAAATAAAATGGATACCGGAGGGGGGATCACCAATAATCATTCTTGGGAAATGAGAACTCAACACCAAACAACCAAAACAACAACAGCAGCAGCAACAGCAACAACAACAATAATAATTCTCGGGCCCGACGGGCCAAGGGCGTGCTAAGATCTCCGGTAACTGGTTAACAATATTTCTAGTTCGCGCGCGCGGGGCCGCCCCTGGGTGCCCCCGGACCAAAAATACCCCCGCAAGTCCTGGCCAAGTCCCGGCCGGGTCCCAGCCGGGTCCCGGGCAGGTTTCCGCCAGGTCCCAGCAGGCTCCCAAGAGCGCTCCAGGAGCGCTTCAAGTGGCCTCCAAGAGAGCTCAACATGGTCCGAGAGGGTCCAAGAGCGATCCAAGACGCCAAATATTGCCTTCAGACAGCCCAAAGCGCCTGCAAGACGCCCCAAGAGGCCTCCAAGAGACCTCACCAAACAACCCACAGAGGCAGAAATTAGTGAGTTTCCTTCAGTTTCTCACGGTTTTTGGCGTTCTCGCCTTTTCGGCTATCCAGCGCTCCAAGACGGCCCAACAGGCTTCCAAGACAGCCCCAAGACGGCCAACGAAGCCCCCAAGAGGGCCCCAAGACGGCTCAAGATGGCCACAAGACAGCCCAAGGGGCGCCCAAGACGGCCCAAGAGAGCCCCAAAACGGCCCCAAGAGGGGCCCAAGAAGGGGACCAGGAACCGAAAAGTCCAGCCTTCAGCCCCAAGAGGTCCCCAGGAGGCCCCAAGAGGCCCCCAAGAGGCACCCCGAGAAGCCCCAAGAGGCCCCCAAGAGGCCCTAAGAGGCCCCAACACGGCCCCCAAGAGACCTCAAAACTGCCTCCCAAAGGCCCCTTAGAGGCCAACCACGAGAGCCCAACCAACATCCGTGAGGCCTCTGACCCGCCACCTACCGCCTCCGAAAAATGGCAGCCGCCCAACCGCACCGCATTGACAACAACACCCCGACAAACGACAGCGGCGGGGCAATATAGCCGACGGAATAAGCGCGAAGCGGTTAAATGATAATGATAGTACGAATAATGCCACTAATAATAGTTTAAGACTCTTCACTCCTATCTGCTCGCGTGCCACTCAACACGTATATCACAGACCCTCGGTATCCGCCTTCTTCTTCTTCTTCGATCGTACCCCCTTGGGGGTAGATGTTCCTTACCTGCCAAGTGCATGTAGCGCAGCCCCTACAACCGAGGAAGAGGAAGACGGATGGAAGGGGAAGGAGGAAAGGATGGAGCACGAGAGAAATTAGCAGGAGCTGATCTAGGTAGGAGCAGAAAACACGTGGGAGAACCAGACTGGCAGGTCGGGCGGGCAGATCCTAGCAGGCGGGTCGGGAAGGCGGGCCCAGGCGGCAAGGTCGAGCGGGCGGGTTGATGAAGCATGGGTCCTGCATGGATCGCGAGGGGAGCTCGAGCGATAGCGCGTTTCTTCAATAATGCAAAAGAAGCGAAAGAATAGCCAAAGCGAGAGAGTGATTCCTGAGTGTCGAGAGCGCGGCGTCTGAGTAAATTGCGAGAAACCCCACGCGAGAGCGCGATTCCTGCATAATTTGTGAGGAAGTCCCGCGCGAGAGCGCGTTTTGGAATGAAACGTGCGGAAATATCAAACGGGAGCCGTTGTTGTTGTAGCCCGGGAGGACAAAAACATAGTTTTAGCATGAAGACGTTCCCTGATAAACAGGGTGCGAGCGCCGAACGGACACTGCAATTGAGAAAACACAATGTGCACCAGTGTGGGGGATCAACAGTAACGATTCAAGAATGAGATTTCAACCAAAACACCAAAACCGACAACACGAACAGCATCAACATCAACCACTACCACCAGCAACAAACATGGAACAACTACAATAGCCCTGTAAAGCAGCTGTGGGCCAGGTCTCGGCTGAGCTGCTCACGAGGGTCCTTGATGAACTTCACGTCCGCGGCGCTCTGGACGAACGACGCAAAGACCTGGGCGCGACGGAGCCTCCTCCCTCTGCTTTGCCGCCGCCTCCTCCCCCCCCGCCTCCAGCTCCTCATCATCACCACCACCACTTATTATTATCAGTAGTAGCATTAGTACTGTGATTATACGTATGATTATTAGTGCTACTCTTCTTATCACTATTCTTCTGCATCAGAACAATCATCATGGTAAGCATGATCATCCATCGCATCCTCATCCTCATCGTCATTCTCATCATCATCCTCATCAAGGCCTCCTCGCTCACCCTCCATTCACTGAGTCGCCCTCCTCCTCATCCTCCTCCTCCTCCATTCCTTTTCCTTGTGAATAACTTCTCCCTGTCGCACCCCGAGGCCAGTTTTTAGGACGGGCTGGGCGTTTCGCCTGAGACTTCCTCACCATGCATGACTCTGAAGCTTACAACGGGACACGAGGGCACCCTTTGATGGGCTCATTTTCCACCATCATTATCATAGGTAGGAGGAGGAGGAGGAGGAGGAGGAGGCGGAGGAGGAGGCCCTCCCCATCCTCCCTTCTCCCCCGTCCTACATATGGTAGTGGTGGTGGTGGAAAAGTTGCCCATCACCCTTGATTCGGAGAGGTCGACCGTACGGCGAAGCACCTCTAGCCTCTGAGACCCGACGTTGCCCAAAAAACTGCAGCAGCGCGGCACATCACGACCAGAGCCCCAGACCCCCATCTTTCCGCGTCAGCTTTCGAGCCGGATCGATCTGCGAGGGCCCCCAGAAGCGAGACCCGACGAAAACGCCTGCTGTGGAAAAATGGCCACGCCAGGATGTGAGGTTAGGTCGGGCATGTCCTCCTACAGATGGATTGTGGCCGAAAATGAACATAGTCGAAAATGATCAAAACCAGCCTAGTGAAAAAATCGTCCCCCTTCTGATTTGTTTGCCTGTTTTTGAACACTCCTCCTGTAGAGGGACATGCCCGAATTTAACGCGAGGATCTCAGGGGCCACCGCGTCTTCCCCAGCGCTGGGGGGCAACAACAGAGGGGGGACTGGCATAGCGGGGAATACATCGACCTGGAATCGGCGATACATCGCCGACAAATCGGCGATAGGCCCCCGATAGTGTATCCGCACCTTCCTGTGCGGGTTGGGGCTATCGGGCCCCGATCTCGGGGGCGCGCAAGCATGGATTAGCGATCCATGAATTTGGCGCGCGGTCGCTAAATCCATGGATCGGGGGAGGTGCCCTCCCCACAATGCGGCCAGTGCCGCCTCATTCGGCGGCGGATATCCGCGACTTCCGATGGAACCGGGACCCGTCGCTTATCCACGCCCCCTTCATCCATGCTTGCGATCACCTGACTATCGGCGATCGATGGGCGATTGGGGGTCGATGCATCTAGGGGAACAGAAATTAACATGAACATAAAAACTCGGAGGTCCGCGCGGATTCCTCGTATCGCCGCCGGGGGGCCCCCGGCGGAGCGTCCGGCGCCGCCCCTGGCGCGCTCCGCGCGCCAGGGAGGGGGCCCCAGCGCCGATCCGAGAGATCCGCGCGGACCTCCGAGTTTGTATGTTTATGCCACTTTTTGTTCCCCCCCCTGTGCCCATCCCCCCCCCCTATCGTTGCCCCGGAAGCGCGGGGAAGCCCCGCCCCGACGCAGCCCCCGGCGCCCGGCGGCACGGGGCGCGGCGCGGCGGGCGCACCATGTCGACGCCCTGCGGGATGCCGAAGTTCACGAGGTCGTTGATGTCCTCCGGCGCGCGGCGGCGCCGCCCGCCCAGGAAGCGGGCAACGACGACGACGACGACAGCAACAAAAAAAAGACGACGACGACGACGAGGAGGAGAGGGAGGAGGATGAGGAGGAGGAGGAGAAGGAGGAGGAGGAGGACGACGACGACGACGAGGATGACGACGAGGATGACGAGGACGACGAGCAGGACGGCCACGCGGCGCGCGGCACGCGCCCCGCCCCCCCGCCCGCTGCAGCGCCGAGCGTGCGCCGTGCCTGGGCGACCGGGGACACCGACGACCTCAGATCTCTGCGGGCACAGTCGGGGCGCTGACCTAAGGAACCCTAAACAAGGAACGAGGCCCCTTTTCTCCAGAAGTTGAACCTCGATTTCCCTTCGAAAGCCTAAGGAAAACGTGGGGCAACCTGTGAAACAATTAGGAACACGGAGCCCCATACCCAACGAAAACAGTTCTTTCTTCAGCGCCCCGACTGTATGATTCCCCAATCAGTGCTTGCACTGAAGGGGTCCTAGCGCAAGTTCCCCAATCAATGCTTGCACTGAAGGGGTCCTAGCGGAAGCTGAAAGATTTGGCGGAAGTTTCCCGCCGATTTTTGTAGCAGGCTGGCTTCCCTGGCTCCTGGGTTCCAGGTTCCCGGGTTCCCGATTAGTGGTTCCGGGCCGACTTCGGTGGGTTCTGGGTTCCCGGGCTCCCGGGTTCCTGGTCGATCTTCTCAGCGAAAACCATCCGCTGATTGGGTTTTTTTCTCTGGTGTAATTTCTTTTTCGATCTCAGCCCTCGGGGGCTGTTTTCGGGGCCCTGGACAATCCAAAATAGATGCGGGGCGAAAAACCAGCCCCAGGGAGGTGGTCAGGAACTCTGGAGCCGCGAACTGAAAAAATACTTAGGCGGAAATCACGGACGACAACGACGATTACGGCGACAACGTCGTCGTCGTTTGGGATGTTTGTTGGGCGTTTCTGGAGGTTCTCGTCGCCACGGTGGGACGCAGCTCGAAAACGGCGGGCGTGGACTCCACAAGACAACGGTCTTCGCGCTTTCGCGCCGCCCCCCCCCCCAAGATCAGGATGAGGGACTGTCGCACCTGGCTGAGATGGCCATGACCGCGAAGCGCGACAAACTTCGCACCCTCGTGGTGGCCAGGAGGGGTCAAGGACCGGCTTTGAGCAGTTTTTGGCTCCCGCCATCCCGTCCCTCCGCCCTTCCCTCCTGCCTCACCCCCACCTCCTTCCCAGCTCCTCCGTTCACCGTCCCTTTTCCTTCTTCCTCCTCCTCCTCCTCCTCCTCCTCCTCCACCTCCTCCTCCTCCTCCTCCTCCTCCTCCTCCTCATCATCATCATCATCATCAGCAGCATCAGCATCAGCATCAGCATCATCATCATCATCATCATCATCATCATCATCATCATCATCATTATCATCATCATCATCATCATCATCATCATCATCATATCATCATCATCATCATCATCATCATCATCATCATCATCATCATCAATCATCATCAGCATCATCATCATCATCAGCATCATCATCATCATCATCATCATCACCACCATCATCACCATAACCACCATCACCATCAACCATCACCATCACCATCACCATCACCACCATCACCATCACCATCACCATCACCATCATCATCATCATCAGCATCAGCATCATCATCATCATCATCATCATCATCATCATCATCATCATCATCATCATCATCATCATCATCATCATCATCATCATCATCATCATCATCATCATCATCATCTCTCCCTCCTCTCCTCCCTATTCTCTTCTGTCTCATTCCTCATACTTTCTGCCCCTTCGCACCACTGCATCTTCCCCTCAATATCCTTCCCCCCTCCTTCCTGATCCGATTCCCCTCCAGTTTCATCATCTATATTTGTTCCTCCCACCCTCCCAGTCCGACTCCCTCCGCCTGTGGTAGCAGATGGCGCGTAGAAAATACTTTGTGGGTTGTATGGGTGGTGCGTGGTGTGTGTTGTGAGGTGGATTAATGTCGGGCCGCGTATGGTGGTGGGTGGTGCCTGGTGGCTGGCTATTGAAGGCGGGAGGCGTGTTTGGTGATCCGTAGCTCGTGGTTCGTGACGCCGGGCTGGCAATTACGGATGAAGGGTGGTGCCTGGTGTTTTGTTGTGTGATGTGTGGCAGAGGGTGGGTGATGCATCCTCATCAGCATCATCATCAGCATCATCAGCATCATCAGCATCATCATCATCATCATCATCATCATCACAATCAGCATCATCATGATCATCATCATCATCATCATCATCATCATCATCATCAGCATCATCATCATCATCACCATCATCACCATCATCATCATCATCATCATCATCATCATCATCAGCATCATCATCATCATCATCATCACCACCCTCCTCGCCCTCTACCTTCCTCTTCGTCCTTCTTCCTCCGCCTCCTCCTCACGATCATCATCATCCGCCTCCACCTCATCTTTTCTCCCCCTCCTCCTCCTCCTCCTCCTCCTCCTCCTCCTACTCCTCCTCCTCCTCATCGTCACCATCATCACCAGCAGCACCTCCACCACCACTACAATATTGATCATCATGATCACCATCATTATCATCAGCAGCAGCAGTTCCAGTTGCCGATGCAACATCATCACCGTTAGAATCATGATCACCACCACCATCAGCATCATCTGCATCATCAGCATTGTCAGCATCATTATCATCATCGTCGCCACGATCACCATCATCATCATCATCATCATCATCATCATCATCATCATCATCATCAGCAGCATCATCATTATCGTCGTCAGCACCATCATCATCAGTATCACCATCATCATCAGCATCAGCAGCAGCACCATCATCATCACCACCACCATCAGCACCATCGGCATCGTCATCATGTTTATCATCATCATCAGCATCATCATCATCATCATCGCCATGATCAGCATCGTCATCATCACCACCATCATCGTCGTTATCATCGTCATCACCATCGCCATCATCATCGCCATCATCACCATCATCCGCATCAGCAGCATCAACACCATCATCAGCATCACCATCCTCCTCGCCCTCTACCTTCCTCCTCGTCCTTCTTCATCCGCCTCCTCCTCCCCGTCGAATGCACCGGATCTCTTCCGACCTCCGAAGTTCAGCGGCGCAGGGCCCGGTGAGTACTGGGGTGGGGGACCGCCCGGGAAGACCTTCGGGAAAAATAGGGGCGGAGGCGAGCAGGCCCAGACATCACACTGCAGAAAACGAGCCTCCTCCGAGCCATCTCCCAGAAACCTCCCGCGGGGCCGCGGTCGCATCGGCACGCCCGGGTCCCCCCCAGGGGTCCCGAGCCCGTGGCAGGCCCGGGGCGGCCTCGCCTCTCCGGCGAGCGCTCGCCGTGGCTGAAGAGGAAAACTCCGACGACGACGACGACGACGACGACGGCGACGACGACGACGACGACGACGACGACCACCGCAGAACGACATACTAGTACTGTGAGCTCCCCTTGGAGGCGCGCGTCCGAAAAACTCACATGTACATATATATATATATATACATATACATATATATGTATATATATATATAGCACAAGCAAATTGCAATATGTCGATGTTACCCGGGCGGCATAAAGCTCCCGCTACAGAGCTGTTGCTTTAGGACGTCTGTGCGTGCGCGTCGCTCTGGTGCCGACGCACACATAGGGGACAAGTATGTCTGGGTGGTGCCAACACCACGCCAAAGACCAATACGACTGCGACCACAACGACTGCCCTGAAGAAGGATCACACAACGGCGCAGCGCTCCTGGACCTCGGCCGAGCCGTCGGAGGCACAACAAAGTAGCTCTGGTGGACTCCAAAGCCCCGGGAGTCCCCAGAGGCGATCCCGAGGTCCCCAGAGGCCTCCGAGAGGACCCTGGAGGCGCCTGGAGGCCCGACGGGGACCAGAAAGGTCCGAAAGGATCCTTGCTCCCCCTGTTAGATACTCGTTCTGGAGACCTTCCTGGGGCCACTTGCTGCACTTACGGCGTCGATGCTGCATCGAACGGCCGTCGACTCGAGCTGAGGTGGAGTACAGCTAGAGCCGACATGGAGTCGGACTGAAGACGAACTAGAATCGAGCAGATCCGTGTAGTGGGCCCCAGAAAGACCCCCAAGACGAGCACACAAACCCCTGGGCCCTGGACCCCGGAACGCTCTCTACGAGGCGCAGCTGATGGAGACAGCCCCGGGGCCCCGCGAACTCTCGACAACACTCCGGACGTACGAAGGAACCGCCCCCGTTCCCCACCGTGACGACGTTTCCCCCGAGGCCCTCCTCGAGCCTCGACCCTCGGGTCGCCGTCGCCCGCCAGCTGCCACGAGCGGCGAACGCATCCGCCCCCGCGCCCCCGCGGTCTGGACTCTGGGACTCTACCCCGCCAATGCCAGGACGCAGCCGCACGGATGCCAGGGCGCAGCCGCACGGAACACGCCCCCGCAACTGCCGGGCCGCGGCCCCTGCGCGGGCTCGATACGGTTAGATCGGGCCTCTCCCCCTAAGGCCGATTTTCGAGGAAGAGTTTCAACAGAGTTACAGAAAAGAATCGAACATGGTCTGGAGATCTATTATTCAAAAGAGAAAACAACAACAACAACAACAACAACAACAACAACAACAACAACAACAACAACAACAACAACAACAACAACAACAACAACAATTACTAGCACGTGGGGACACTCCGTTCTCACCAGTGCCAGGGTTTTCATAGGAGGCGGGCAATACCCCCACTTTGTGGGGGGGCCGGTTCAAGCTCTACCAAATTTCCAAACGACTCTTCGCCACCACCCACACCCAGCTTCCCGCCCTATGACGTTCGGACACTTCACTTCGTGGCATGCGGACGACCGTGGCTACTATTCAGGGCCCCGCGGCCGACGACGACGGCGTGCGCGCGCGAAGAAAAAACGAATGTGTCCCGCATGGTATTATTTGACAGGGATGATGGCCCTGGCAGGTGCGCAACCGTTGTCGCAGAAGTTCGAAAAAGTTGCTCGCAAAAGCCCGTTTGACAGAAATGTTTAAAAAGTGTTGGGTTTCCTACGAATCCGCAAGAGCGCGCGGGATGAGATTTTGACAATTTTTTGTTGAAAAACCATTGGTTTTTTGATGTTTTTATGTTAAAATCGCTGCGAACACTAAGGTTTTGGAAGGATTTCGTCTTGCGCGCGCGAATGTCCACTTTACCTTATTTTTTGCAAGGGATTCTTGAAATTTGATTATATTAGAACAAGAAATGTCATTTTCTATTGTTTTTTGCAAGGGAAAGCGGATTACAACAAAACAACCGGATCCTGTACACACCCTCTTTTCTGAGGCTTCCTCACGAAAATGATGAAAATGTAGCTGCGGCCTAGGCGGCGCAGGGGGGGCGCGCACCAGGGGGCCCAACAATAATTATTCTTTAGAATAAATAATGTTCAACAACAACAACAACAACAACAACAACAACAACAACAACAACAACAACAACAACAACAACAAAAGAGTCCCCAGACTATTTGTTTTGGCTGTCCTTGAATCTCCCTCCTGCAGGGGGACAGGCCCGACGTGAGGCTACGGATGCCCTCTTCCGCCCACGACGCCGCCCTCCCCCGGGGCGCCCCTCGCGTCTCCTTCTCCTGCAGGACGGGCAGCTCGACCTGTGCGCGCGCGGCGCCCCCCCCCAGGCGGCTTCGGCGGGCGCTCGGGCGGCTCCGGGAAGCGCGCGGGGAGCCGAGGCCCTCGGGGGAGTCGGAGGTGGAGGGGGGAGGAAGCGCTCTCTCGTTGCGCGATCGGTTCGCTCGGCGTGCTCGTCGTGGCGTGCACGGCACACGTCCGAGCACGCCTTCGTGGGGCCCGCGCGCACCGCCGCGGGCGCCGCGGGGCTGCGCGGACAGACCGCGTGTGGCCCGCAGCGTCAGGGGAGGGGAAGAGGAGGCCATGGCCAAGGCTGGTTCGACCTTGGCCACCGTACATCTCGGCCAGCGCCGATTCGTGAGCCGGCCTCGCGCATCGGCGAAGGCCGGCACGGACCATGGCCGAGAGCAGCGTCGATGAGATCCCGCGACATATTGGCCATGGTCAGTGTGCCCCTTTACTCGATGAGTTCACAGATCGGCCTCCTCCTCCTCCTCCTCTTCCTCCTCCTCCTCCTCCTCCTCCTCCTCCTCCTCCTCCTCCTCCTCCTCCTCCTCCTCCTACAAGGGGGGTTGGGCCCATGTGTCCCCCGCTTGCAGCACTGTCGGGCCTCGCGAGGGGAAGCTCAAGAGACCATCGGGGACTCCTCGCAAACCTGGGGACGCCCTCCGGCCAGGGACACCAAGCGGCGGGTGGGTCTGGTCCAGGATCGGACGGTGGGAGGCTGGGAGCTAGGCGTGAGAGAGTCGGTGCGTGCAACTGGAGGTTCAAACTCGGGTCGGGAGACAAAATCTGAGAACTGAACATACTGCACACATTCCGTGGTGGTGGGGAGGATGTCGGCAGCTTTGCCCGTAATTCCTACGCCCCGAAATCCAAAATACATGGCGGTCTTCGGTACGGCTCGGGTGAAACGCGTCAAGGAAGAGGCCAGAAAACGCTAGACGATGATTTGGTGTTTCCGCCGGAAGTACCGCTGCGCCTGACCCCAACCCGTCGCCCCCTGTGGCGAAGAGAAGTGTCGCTAGCCATCCGAGGATCGACCTCGACGTGGTCACATCTTCGTCGCACTGCCACGCTCAACCCTATCAGAGCGCCGCACTCCCCTGCCTGATTCCAGGGGTATTGGTTTTTTGTTGCAAGCAATGCACGCTCCCGGCTGCGACCATTTAGATTGCCACGACTCGTCGTGTGCAATCTTTCCGCCTCCCCTTCGTACCCGTTACTCTCCGCGCGTCCTCCCCACCCACCCACCCCCGTCTTGCGACTCCGTCCCACGGTTACCGCACCTTCGCGGGGCAACGCCTGAGCCTCGATGTACCGCCCGCGATTGCTATGTTTTCCTTTCTCTCCCCCTCAGCGCGACTTCGAGGCTCGAGTTTCGGCCACGTTGGCAGGGCATCTCTTCCCCCAACATCTCGACGCGACCACGTGCGGACCAAAGGACGCTTCGAACGGTAACCGACGGAAAAGTGATCCTTCTCATCCTCCACCTCCTCCTCCTCCCCTTCCCCCTCCTGCTCCTAGTGCTATCTTCCTCGTCCTCGTGCCTTGCACTCGCCTCGCGACGTCTCCGACCAGACAGTCAACGACAAGGCCAAAAATGGGCTAGAAATGGGCTAAATCTGGGCTGAAAGCAGGCTTAAAATGGGCTTGGTCTGTGATTGGGTTAAGCCTGGGCTAATATGCTCTGGCTCATCACCGCCGCACTCTCGTCCTGCGAATTCATGAACCCAGTCGGCGCTTTCCTATGTGCGGTCGGTCGAGGGTTTCTAAGGTCGAGGGTTTCTAATGCTTTCATATTGATTGTGTAATGTCGCCACCACGGCTGCACTCCCATTCGTAGTCTTCGCATTCCTGTCGGGACTCGGGGGCGCGCAACTGAAAGACCAGGCGCACGGGCGCTGAATCTGGGCTAAAAATGAGCTAGAAGTAAGCTCAGGTGGGCCAAAAGTGGGCGAAGTGCAAGTTAGAACGGGCTAAACGTGGACTTAAAAGTTTGCCAAGCTCAACGTGGGCTAAAACTGAACTAAGTTGGGCTAAAGTCGGGCACGATGAAGCCACCTCGATGCGACGTCCGACCTCTCCAGCGAACGCCATGCTATTCCACTCCACGTTTCAGAGTCACGCAACATACACGGGTAATGCGCCCAGGGTAGCTGCACCCAAGGTTAACATTCCACCTCCTCCCCCCTCCCTCCGCCCCTCCCACATCCCCTTCCTTGATACCTCATTATCTTCCCTTGCCCCTTCCTTCGTGGGAAAAGCGGGGGGGGGGCCTGGCCCCACGCAGGAAGCTGAGGGGAATGCCACCGACGCCCGCGGCTGCGGCGGCGCAACAGAAGAGGCGGACCAGCGTGGCAGCGGCGGCGGGCCAGCAGCGGGGAACACCGCGAGACGAGGAGGCGGGCAGGGGAGGAGGGAGGGGGAGGGAGAGGAAGGAGGAAGGGGGATCAAGTTACCCAGGCTTCCCTCTGTAAGATATGATGGGGCGAAGCTGCAGTTGCTCCGGGGCCCGCGCGCAAGCAGACACGCCGCGGCGGCCCCGAAGGTGCACCAGAGCGCGGCACCCTCGAAACCAAGACACACTTGCTCAAGACACTTGCGCCATGCGAATGCGCAAGTACCTAGGGCTCCCAACTTCGCGCTTCGCGCTGCGCGAAGCGCGAAGCGCGAATAACTTCGCGCTCTCGCGCCGCCCTCCCAAAGGGAGAATAGGAGGACGAGGAGGAGGGGGAGAAGGAACGAGGACCGCGAAGCGCGAAGCGCGAATAACTTCGCGCCCTCGAGGGAGCCCTTGAAGTACGGAACCCGGAAGACTAAAACCTGAGATCGCCAGGTGGCCACGGGGGCACATGGGAACACGACCTGGGCGGACGGAGATACCTAAAGTGCACCGTGCCTCGCACCTAAACCTCTACAGGCTCGGGCGCTGCCGGTGGTTGCACGTGCCCGCCGTGCGTCCTAGGCGGATCCTTCAGACTGTCCTTCCGCGCTGCTGTTCAAGCTATTCTACGCACGGAGGACCGTACCGTCGCGCGTCTTTGTCAACTCTATGAACTGTTCGTTGTTACGTAAGTCTCCCTACTCTGCCCATGATCCCGCAATCCAATCGTGGATCTCTACGCTGGGGGCCACATCCCCCGCCCACTGTGACCGTTCATGGCTGTTCCGTGTCATCAACACGGATGGGGGGCGTTAGGACGGTCGCTTGTAGACCATATCTGCTGTCCGTTGTTGCTGAATGGGGCGCTCCGAGGCTGCGCCAACCATAAGCATCCGAAAACTCAATGAATCACAGATTGCTGAATTCTTCCTGACAGCGTGTGTTGGTTATCATTGGTGCGCCTAGACATAGTAGTCCTTGTTTGATCCAAGCCTTTGCGGTCTCCAACGTGTTGAAGTCGTAGATGTTACCGATGACGGAAGTGATGCCCCTCTTGTCTATGATGCAGCTGGTGCCGTGGGTTGCAGGTGTTGTCGGACGCGCTGAAGTAGCTCGCTGCTGCTTCATCGCTTGGATATCCATCACCAGCTACAATAGTTTGGCGTGGTAGTAGAATCCACTGTCACTATGGAATTTGCTGGTGAAGGCCAGCACACGGACAAAATCGGACAGGCATAAATCGGGGATCTCTGAGATCCAGCAGTTCTGGGAGATGTAACGGGCGCCGCGGCCTTCTCAGAGCTTTCCGGAAAGCTCTGAGAGCGTTCCCGAACGCTCTGGAACGATTGATCCCTGTCCTAGCCCCGCCCAAGGATGGAAGGAGCAGGAGGAGGAGAATGAGAAGGAGGAGGAGGAGGAAGAGCAGGAGAAGAGGGAGGAGAGAGGAGAGAGGAGAGAGGAAAGAGGAGAGAGGAGGAGGGGGAGGAGGAGGAGGAGGAGGAGGACGAGGAGGAGGACGAGAGGAGGACGAGGAGCAGAGCAGAGAGATGAAAGAGGAGAGAGGAGAGAGGAGAACGAGGAGCAGGAGGAGAGAGAGGAGAAAGGAGGAGGAGGAGGAGAGAAGAGGAGGAGAGGGGAGGAGGAGAAGGAGGAGGAGGAGGAGAAGGAGGACGAGAGGAGGACGAGGAGAGGACGAGGAGGAGGAGGAGGAGGAGGAGGAGAGGACGACGACGAGGAGGAGGGGAGAAGAAGGAGGAGGAGGACGAGGAGCAGGAGGAGGAGGAGGAGGAGGAGGAGGAGGAGGAGGAGAGAGGAGAGGAGGAGGAGGAGGAGGAGGAGGAGGACAAGGAGGAGGAGGAGGAGGAGCAAGAGGAGGAGGAGGAGGAGGAGGAGGAGGAGGAGGAGGAGGAGGGACAGAAGTCGGGGATCTCCGAGAGACGGCGGGCCTGAAGGCTGCACCTGGCACCGCGCCAGCCCCAGGAAACACGCTCCGAGAGCGCACGGGGACGCTCGGGAGCAAACTTCAGGTGGCGACGTCCGAACTCTACTCCCACCAACCATCGATTCTCCTGAATCGATGGGCGGCGGGGATAGGGTTCAGGTTTCGCCACGCGTTCGACGGATTCCGAACTCTACCCCCACCGCCCATCGAGTTGCCCGAGTCGTTGATCGGCGAGGGTAGGGATCGGCGAATCTTCGTCCTCGTCCTGGGCCTGCCGGAACGCCCTCCTTGGGGTCCCGACGGGGAAGAGAGCCTCCCCTTGCCAGGGAGGGGGCCAACTGGCGGGGGCCGAGTGGCGGGTGCGGCGGAGCAGCGGGCCGCGCAAGACGAAGATATGTGCTCATCCCAAGCCTGCCAGGGCCGTGGCGCGCGTCGGGCGTTGTGGGGGGGGGGGGAGCGAGAAATGGGTTGAGGGGGGGGGGGAGAAGCGTGCATCTCTCGTGCCTCGTCTGGGCCCCTTGAGGGCCCCTTAGGACGCTGAAGGTGCATCTCTCTTCCCCCCCCCCATGACGCAACGCCCGAGTGTCATCATCCCAGGCCTGACCGGGCCGTGGCGCGCGCGGGGGGAGGAGGGGCCTGGATGCCCGGGAGGTTGCAGTTCTTGCGCTCGCCCAGGGAGCAGTCGTTCATGACCTCTCGCGGCAAAGGGCCGCGGTCGGCCGACGCGCATCGGCGTCGCCGCCACCCGCCTCGCCCACGCGCGCCCGCTCCCTCTCCTCCACTCCGCCTTCCTCGTATACGGCCTCCCGCCGCAGCACCCACGAGGCGTGCCCCGCCTGCAGAGACCTCCCTGTACCATCCTGACGGTTGGGAGGAGGAGGAGGAGGAGGAGGAGGAGGAGGAGGAGCAGGAGGAGGGGGAGGAGGAGGGGGAGGAGGAGGAGGAGGAGGAGGAGGAGGAGGAGGAGGAGGAGGAGGAGGAGGAGGAGGAGGAGGAGCAGAGGAGGAGGAGGAGGAGGAGGAGGAGGACGGAGGGCTGGCGGTCCCGCGCACATTCGTTCCCGGAGCCCTCAAGAGCTGCAAAGATGGAGGGCCAGTGGCTTCGAGACTCCCGCCATAGTGCCGCGCAAATTTGTTTTACCAGCGGTTAATACATGGGTCGATCGCCTTGGCGTCGCGCAGATCCGTCTCAAGAGAAAACATCGGTCACAAAGATGAAGGTCGGGTGATATTACGGATCGCCTCTGCGCCGCGCAGATTCGTTTTCAACGTTTCCAGCAACTCTTACAAGAATGGCGGCCAGCTCGCTTACAGAAAGGAGCGGTTCCTGCTTGAGACTCCGTCATGATTCTCCTGCTCCTCACCCTCCTCCACTGCGCCCTCTCTCCTTTCATCTCCTCGTCCACCTAGTCCTCCTCCACCTCATGCTCGTCCTGCTGTTCAGAACTCGGGAATCCGATGATCAGCTGGGCGAGGAAGATCTGTTGTCCTAAGGGGGCCCTGCCGCTGGCCCACGGTGTGTGCAGCCCGCCCGAGCCGCACCGTGGTGATGACACAAGGGTCCTCTGCGATGGGTCGCCTTGGGGGTTTTGGACCTCTCTATCCGAGCAGCACCGTGGTGACAAAAAGGTCTTCTTCGATGGGTCCCCATTGAGGGTTTTGGGCTCTCTCTCTCTCTCTCTCTCTCTATCCGTCCCCCCAAGTGGCGTGCAATACCTCCTCCCCGTGCACGCCACATTCGGGAGCGCGCAAACATGGATTGGCGATCCATGGATTTAGCGCGCGGTCGCCAAATCCATGGAGCGGAGGAGGTGCCCTCCCCAAGATGCGGCCGGCGCCGCCTCTTTCGGCGGCGGAAGTCCGCGGTTTCCCATGGAGACTGGACCCGTCGCTAATCAACGCCCCCTGAATCCATGTTTGATCGCCTAAGTTTGGGACTCTCTCTCTCTCGCTCTCTCCGTCCCCCCTTAGAGGCGTGCAGTACCTCCTCCCCGTGCACGCCACATGAGCATCATCGTGGCGCCGCCGCTGGCGCCGTCGTCGTCATCGCCATCGAGCGCCGCCGCTGGCGGCGGCAAGACCCCGAGCGAACGAGCAGCGGGCGCTCTCGACCATCGCCCCCGCTCGCCATACAGCGGAGGCTAGTCCACGAGAAGCCTTCCAGAAGAAGTCCAACCCTGAGACCCCAGGACGTCCATTGTTTTTTGGTGGGAACGTCACGCTCTCCATCGCAAAACCGTCGAAACCCAAGAAATCCAGGGCAGCTGGGAGGCAAGCAGGGTGTTTCTTTGCATGGGCCCCCACTGTGTCCCCATTTCGGGCCTCTGGGACCTTTCCTGGAAGAGTCCCTGACGAACGAACAACACACACCCATACCCATAGGGGGGTCGCTGGGAGGAAGACTGGCTCTGGGTATGGGCGCGGGTTGTCGGACCCCGGGGGGGCGCTGCCGTGCGAGCGGGGAACCCCATCCAACAACACGCATTCATAGCCCTCTCCGACCCCCCCTATGGGCATGGGTGTATTCTTCGTTCGTCAGTCACGGACTCGCTTCGCCAACTGGCGGGCCGCACCTCTGGGCCTTGCGAAGACCTTCGAAGACTGCGGCAATCGCAAGGCACCAAAACTCATCGGGGACGTCGGACAGCCGCCGAAAGACTGCCGACGGCCCCCGAAAAGCTCAAGATGTAAACACAAAGACCAAGTACACTGACAGCAGAACAAAATTGGAGGAACGAACAACTACATAGTTACATAGCCATAAACTTTCGGAGATCCGCGCAGACCTCCGAAAGAGTAGGTTTATGCAGCTTCTACGTCTTCGGAACAGAACAGATAAAACAGCAGCAAACAAACCGGCGGCGTGCGCCAGCCGCCTCGGTAATGACGTGGTCATCGCCGACAGTCTTCACCTTCAGCGACAGGGAGCCATCCGCGCAGAGGATGATGTTGCCAGGCTGCGGCGGGGCAGGAGGAAGCAGGAGGTGGCAGGAGGAGGTTCGAGGATGCAAGGGTCGAGGATTTCGGACGCCACGGGCCCTGGTTCGACCTCTGAAAGCTTCTCGTCGCCACGGCCGGACTCCCCCCACAGTTCGACCCAGAGCGCACCTCTGGAGAGGTCCAGGGATCGACCTCTGAAGGAGAACGGAGACAAGAAAGCCAGGAGAGAAGGAAGGGACGCCGAGTACAGGCCGCGCGCGCGCGAGCGGCTGCGTCCCCCGAGGGCTCGGCAGAACTTGATCAGCCCCTCTCGCCCACGGGCGTCCGCGGGCTCTGCCCCAGTCCAGGTCCGGGCTCCGAGCTCGTCGTGCTGCCCAGCGCGCTCGCAGCGGATGCAATTCCAGGCGCGGGGCCTCTGGACGAGGATCGAGGTGCTCCGTCGCTGTTCTCGCCTCTGCTGCGTGTTCCTCCGACGGGCCTCTCGTCGCCGAAGAACACACCCCATGACAGGTCCAGGGGCCTAGGGCCTGGGGCCTAGGGCCTAGGGCCTAGGGCCTCGGCGCTAGGCCGTAGGCCCCAGGCCCTAGGCCCCTAGGCGTCCCAGGCAGGCCCTAGGCCCTGGGCCCTGGGCCCTAAGCTAGGCGCTAGGCGCTAGGCGCTAGGCGCCAGGCGCTAGGCGCCAGGCACTGGGCCCTAGGCCCTAGGCCCTAGGCCCTAGGCCCTAGGCCCTGGCTTGCACCGGCTCGGACCAAGTGCTCGCAAGCCTGGACGAGGCCGGGGGAGGCGGGAGGAGGAGCCAAGGCTAGAGGGCCGCCGCATCAGCAAGCCGTGGTCCCTAAGAGCGGGAGGGGCGCGGAGTGGCGGGCGCATTTGGAAGCGCAGACCGCCCGTTCACCCGCCCTCTCCGTTTTCCCCTGCCGCCTGCTTCGATTTCGACCGTGGTTGGGCTTCTGGTCGGTGCCAACGGAGGACAGCGACGTCGTCGGTCTCGGGCGTTTCCCTCATGGCGTTTCGCATGAAAGCTCGAATGATGGCCCCCCCCCAAGGATGTCCCCCCCCAAAAGAAAACAAAAATAGTCTGGCGAAGAACCCAGCCCATTCTCAAAACGAGGCGACTATGAAAGAGGACCGGTCAGCACTCAAGAATACAGCGACGGCCTGCGGCACCCCCAAACCACTCGCCAAAAACATCAAAACACCTTCACCGTTCTCAATCCGCAATACGTGAGAGGTGTGCCGAAATGCGCGGGGGGGGGGGGGGGGCATACGGACTTTGCCGCTGAAGCCTTCGCTGGAGCTCCCTGTGGGGCCACGATCCTCGTCAAGGGTGCGCCGAAGTCAGCAGAGGGACGCCATGCGGATTTTGCCGCTAAGGCCTTCGGTGGAGCTCCACGATCCTATTGTGTTCAATGGAAAAATATTCCGACCCAAATCCCCAGACAGCCCCCCGAGAAACCGGACATCTCATGCTGACGAATGACGACAAGACGGCTTTGGACAACCCAGCGGAGATCCGAACAACCCCCCCAGACAACACCCCTTGGACAAGCCTCCACGGAAATTTTCTTCCATTCGATATAGTAATGAGGATTGCGCCGAAATGGACAGGGGTCGCCATGCGGACTTTGCCGCCAAGGCCTTCGGCGAAGCTCCCCGTGGGGCCCCGATCCTCATGAGGAGCGCGCCGAAAGGCGCGAGGGGTCAGCATGGAGACTTTGCCGCCAAAACCTTCGGCGGAGCTCCCTGTGGGGCAACGATCCTCGTCAAGGGTGCGCCGAATCAGAAGAGGGACGCCATGCGGACTTTGCCGCCAAGGCCTTCGGTGAAGCTCTCTGTGGGTCCACGATCCTTGTGAAGGGTGCACCGACATGCGCTGGGGGACGCCATGCAACTTTGCCGCTCAGGCCTTTGGTGGCATTCCCTGTGGGCCACGATCGGCACGAAGGATGTGCCGAATGCGCACGGAGGAGGAGGACCAGTGGAAACCCAAGACTAGTCAACGATGTTGCAACAAACCCTGTCTCCGAATTCCCTTTTCATAGTGTCCTACCAAAATTCATTTCCACTGTAATCAATGCCTCGTTGGAAGACAACCGCCTGAAAATCATGCACCGTGCCAGAACACCGTTCCTGGGATTTCATCGCAACGAATCAACGTTAGTACTGCGTCCTAACGATCCTGAATCGCGCCAGAGCACTATTCCTTGGACGCGAATCAACGTAACGGTTGCGCCCTGACTGCCCTACATCGTGTAGAAACAACATGTACGGGACGTGAGCCATAATAATCCATCCGTGAAGCTCTCCTGCAAACTTTCAGACGACTGCGCGCGGCGCTAGGGCGAGAACCACATCTTGGAAAGAACCCGCCCTCCATCCGTGAAACTCGTGCAAACTTTTTTTATGTTCTTTCTTTTTTATACAAAAAATGCTCGCGGCGCTGAGGCGAGAACCACATCTTGAAAACGGCCCGCGCCCTTCACCCGTGAAGCTGCTGCAAACCTCAGAACGAATGCGCGCGGCACCGAGGCGAGAGCCACACTTTGAAAACGGCCCGCCCTCCATCCCCAGAGAAGCGCCCGGCCCGCCCTGCCGACACGTTTCGGATGCATAACCCATAAATACTGATAATGTTACTAAAAATGGACAACAAAATATTCCTGAGTATGTCAAGCACGACTGCACGGACTAGAAAAATATAGTAATATTGTTGAATTAACACAATACGAAATGTGCTGGGAAGAAAAAACGTAATCTCTCCCAAGGGGGGCCGCGCCCTCGGTGGCAAGCCCGCTGCCACCGCCTGCTCTCTGTCGAGCAGGGCTGCCCCTCGGGCGGAGCCTCTTGGGGCCCTCTGCGGGGCAACTCTCTCGAGAGACACCCCCCAGCAACCTCTCATGAGCCTCTCAAGAATCCATCATGAGCTTCTCGGGGCCTTCCCAGGAGCCTCGGAAGACCCTCCCAGATGCCTCTCGAGACCGACACTCTCGGGAGCTTCTCGGGAGTCTCTCCAGAATTTCTGCGGAGACCCTCCCAGGAGCCTCTCGGGAGCCTCTCGGGCCCCTTCTGAAGACCCTCGGAAGAGACTCGGCTCCTCCCAGGAGCCTCTCAAGAACCTCTCAGGACGCTTTCAGAAGCTCTGGAAGCCCCCTCTGAAGACCCTCTCATGATCCTCTCAGGAGCCTCTCATGACCGCCTCTGGAGACCCTCTCAAAACCAGCACCCTCCGAGGCCCCCCGCAACATCCTGCGCGACCTTTTACGGGGGGGAGAATAGGAAGATCGAGGTTTTGCCGCAGACAACGAGTGACCCTCTTGCGCGCGGGCTAGAGACCGCTGCATGCGACACGACGGCGCAGTCAAGCTACTATCATCAGCAAGGAACGCCCCTCCGAGACAGCAGGGCCCCCCCCCCCAACTCCCACCCCTGCCTCCCCTGGCGCCGGGGGGGGGATGGGGGGTTTCGTTACTCACCCCTCCAACTCGAGGGGGGGAGGAGGAGAGAGGACTCCCCTCTCTCCCTACTCGCCGCCGGCAAACGTCGTCGTCGTCGTCGTCGTCGTCGTCGTCGTCGTCGGCGTCGGCGGCGGCGGCGGTCGTCGTTTGCTGGCGAATACGAAAAGGGAAAGGGGGTCGGAACCCCCTTTTTCCCCCGCGCCCTCCGAAACCCGCGCACCAAAAGTCACCCTAGCGAAGGTTCACCCTCACGTGTGGCCGAGCCCTGCGCTCGAAGCTGCACTCCAGGCCGCTGCTGCCACACGTCGGGCGCGGCCACAGGGCAGCCACTGGAATCGGTCGACATCGAGGAGGCCATGGCGGCGGGCCCCGCCCCCTCTGACTGCCAGATGCTCAGACAAGCACTTCCAGTGGCGGCCCGCCCAAAGGCATCCTGCAGCCAATATAAATGCGGATTAAAGCTATTTGCAGCATGTGCACAAGAAGGAAAAAACGGCGTAAACATAAACTTTTGGCGCTGCACGCGGATTTCTTGGATCCACGCTGGACCCCCCCTCCCTGGAGCGCGGAGCCAAAAGTTTATATTTGTAGCGTTATTCCTTCTTCAAAAGTAATCAAATCATGATGTTGGTGTTCAGATCATGTGTGAATGGTGCGGCACGGGGGGGGCATGGTGGAGCCGAGCCGCGGTTTCCAGGGCGCCGGGCGCCCGGGGGGGGGGGGTCCGCGGCCACCAGTCTCCCATGAACGTGATGACGAGGATGGGCGCTGGTGGCCGTGATGACGGTGACGATGGACCGCGGGCGCGCTCCCAGACGAGCTCGGAACAACGCATTTGCACGCTGAGACATGCCGTACGCACCCGCCATCTCCGCGAACCCCCTGCAGGCGCATCGCCTTCCCAGACGCCCCCTCGTCTCTCACTTACTTACTTGCTTACTTACTTACTTACTTACCCATCCATGAGGGGAGTCCCCGAGGAGTCACCCACGCATGCACAAGAGGGAGGGGGAGGAGCGGGGACGGATCGGGCTGCCCGCTCTCCGTCGTCTCTCGCTCCCGCTCCTCCTCCTCCTCGTCACCTGGTCATCCCCCTCCTCCCCACTTTTCGTTATTCCTTCCCCTCTCCCCCTCTCGAATCGTCCCGGCCACAACGTCGGAATGGCCTGGGATACTACAGTCAAAAACCCTAATAAGGACGCGCGGTAAGGACACAAGACCCTTGGAAGCCGAAGTTGGGATTTTTGGGGCGGCGGACGACAAAAACCCCAAGGACGCAAGAGCAAGGAAGACCAAGGACGCAAGGATACCCCGAGCAAAGTCGCGCGTCCTTATTAGGGTTTGTGACTGTATGGGAGACAGCTGCCCCGCGCCTTGACAGACTTGCACAGCATAGGGTAGCTGAGCGCAAAACAAGTGTTGTCGCCCTTGAAGTCGTAGTCGGTCACCAGCTTCAGGTCCTGGGGCGCTGCGAGGAGAACGAGGAGGAGGAGGAGGAGGACGAGGGAGACGAGGAAGGAGACAGGGAGGAAGGATGGAGGGAGAAGGAATGAGGAGGGGGAAGCGATGACCGCGGAGGAAGCAGGCGTGCGGGCGAAAAGAAAAGCACGTGGAGGAGGGAGGAGGAAGGAGGGAAAAGGAAGAGGGACGCTGGAGGAGGGGGGAGAGGGGAGGGGGCAGGGGCGGGCGAGAATGGACGAACAAAGGGTGAAAGAGGGAGGACGCGGCGGAGGGAACGAAACAAAGAACAGAAGGACGGGAGGGCCTATCGACAGGAGGGAACGGGGGAGGAGGAGCACGACGAGGAAGACGGGGAAGACGAGGAAGACGGCGAGGACGAGAAGGAGCAGCAAGAGCGTGAAGCAAAGGAGGAAGAGGAGGAGGTGGGTGGCAGGAGCGGTCGGCGGAGAATCGGGAAGAACGGGGGTACAGGAAAGGGGAAGAATGAAGGGGCGAGGAAAGAAGGGGGAGGGGTAGGTTAGGCCCACCTGTTCCACATCCGACGTCCTACCCCTCCCCCAAGCCATCAGCGTTGCGCTGGATCCCCCTATCGCAGAGTCGACTGTCAAAGGAAACATGGATCCCAGAAGGGCAACACTGCGGAAAAATGCTTCAGATATGAAAAGCTGATTGAAGCACGAAGGAGGCGGATGGGAACTGGGAGGGGTATCAGGGAGGCGGAAAACTGAATGAGGTATGTAGGAGGAGCGAGGGCAGAGGGGGGAGGAGGAATTCTGACCGAGGACGACGACGACGCAGGGAAGGAAGGACGATCGGACTCGAGGGAGCAACGGAGACCTGACGGGAGTGGAACGAGTGGGGGAGGGACGGCGGGGAGCAGGTCGACGCCTGGGAAGGGGCGGGGGCGCAGGAGCCCGAGGAGCGCGGAGGGCAAGGACAGGAAAGGGGGGAGGAGAGCAGGCCCACGGCAGGCGCAAGGCGAGCTGGTCGACACCTGCCCGCACCTTTCGCAAGCAGTTCGGCACGACGCCAAGCACGAAAACGGATTGTGACGAAGGATGGGCGCACTCAGCCGGCGCTCGACCACAGAGCGCCACACGGAGCAGCAGGACTGTGCTGCATCCTGCCGTGCCACGACGGCGATGCGCAGCATCGGCTCGCATTCCACCGCGCGGGACGCCGTGACGGAAGAACGCAACGCACACGAATCGCCGGCGACGACTTCGCGCGAGCACGCGCGCGTGGCAGCGTCGATCGCCGTGCACGCGCGTCGTGGGCAAGCGAGGCCTGGCAGATACGCCATAAAGCCACGAGCGATGGAGCGCGACCGCCTCTCGGGAGAGGACGTACACGTGCATGAATCCGCGTTGGTGTCGAGAATGCCCATTGCGCCAACGTTCGTTTCGCACGGCTGGTCTCGCGGATTGGGGGGCGTGTTCGTGTCCTGATTCTTCGACTATTAGAATTTTTGACAGTCGCCACACTATGGAGAGATCGGGGAGCCTGGCCAGAGTATGTGCACTCGTACACGGGAAGCGTCTCAGCGCGCTCACCTGGACCTGGAAACTCCCAGGTCGGACCCGAAAACATTCTGCAGGCGCGGTTCCTCTGTTGTTTTTTTGACAGGGAAAGCCCGTTCAGATCGTCCTGAACATCTTCACATGCAAGTGGCGTTCTCATCGGAGACCGCCACCAGGCGATGTAACTCCAGAAAAGAAGCTCCACCGTCACCGCCACGGAGGTGACCGAGCTGAATTCGCGACAACGCTCGCAGACGCGAAGTACCATGACATGTCGCTGGATAGCAAGGTGTGCCACAACGACGCATTGCGAAGCACCTTGTGACATTGCATGAAACGATGGACAGAGTCAAGCATATCCAGGCATCGCAGAGTACAGCACAGCAGGTCACTACATACATCAACACAGCGCAATGCAAAGCAAAAATCAGATTCGCGCAGAAATGTGGCGTCCAAGTCAGGAGGAGTCCGCCTGACCAGAAAGCCCAGACTGACGGTGGTTTCTCATAACATGTGGAACCCGTAGGCACGGCTGACTGGGGAATGTTACCCACGTGCGAGGCACCTGGGTGGCATCAAAACCAGTAAACCATCTGGACGACAAAGATCAAAGCCAGGCATAAGGACGAAGACGAAACCAGGCATAATAATCAGGCGCGGACGGAAATGGTAGCAAGAAGGAGGGCAACAACAAATACAACATACACACACAAACGAAAAGCAGTGTCACAAACACACGAACTATCAACACCGAAACACGAACACGAAAAACCTCTGATATCCTGTGTACGTGCGGCAACCATATGATGGAGGGTGGCGCCCCCGCACAACACAGTATAGAGGGAGAGAGAAGACAGACTAGCATTCATATCACAGATTTGTCAAGGGGCGAGGACGGAGGAGCGAGGGTGGAGGACAGAGGAGCGAGGAGAGAGAGTGGAGGGGGAAGCGGGGAGAGCGGGGAGGAGAGAGGAGGGAGGAGGTACGAGGAAGGGGGGAGGGGGAGAAGAGGGAGGAGGGGAGGAGGGGAGGTAGGAGGGATACCATGCGGAAGGTCACCGAGGCGCACGCCATCCGTTGAGCTAACTCGCTGGCCGGCGGCCGGAGGGCTAGGCGGCAAGGAGACAGCCTCGGGGGGCATCGGCCCTGGAGGAGCATAGGCTCAAGGAACATCAACTTTCGGTGGTGGGCTCGCTTTCCACCACCACCACCACCACCACCACCACCACCATACGTAGGATGGGGAGGGGGTCCCCCTCCTCCTCCTCCTCCTCCTCCTCCTCCTCCTCCTCCTCCTCCTCCTCCTCCTCCTCCTCCTCCTCCTCCTGACTCCTCTGACTCCTCTGACTCCTCTGACTCCTCTGACTCCTCCACCTCCTTCCCCCTTCCAACTTCTGGTCGGTGGATGGTGGTGGTGGTGGTGGTGGTGGTGGTGGTGGTGGTGGTGGTGGTGGTGGTGGTGGTGGTGGTGGTGGTGGTGGTGGTGGTGGTGGTGGTGGTGTGGTGGTGGTGGTGGTGGTGGTGGTGGTGGTGGTGGCGGCGGCGGCGGCGGCGGCGGCGGTGGCGGTGGTGGTGGTGGTGGAAAACTGACCCATCATTCGGAGGTCCGCGCGGATTTCTGGGATCGGCGCTGGATACCCCTGGCGGCGCAGGGGGTCCAAAAGTTTGTCCGTTTACACCGTCTTTGCTTCCTCGATGGCCGCTCCCGCGTGCGGCTCGGGGTTCTGGACAAAATCTGACCTGCGTGACCCGCAGGAGGGCGAGCTCAGACAATGGCAGCTCCAAATCGGTTCCCGGACCCAGCGCACGGCCCAAGCGTACCAGCCTGCCGAGCTGCGTCCAGCCGTGTCGACGAAGGGCCCCACCGAGGGCCATCTACCGTGGTCTCAGCTGGCCCTCCTCTGAGTGACCGGTTTCCTCATTCTCCTCCTCCTCCTCCTCCTCCTCCTCCTCCTCCTCCTCCTCCTCCTCCCCCTCCTCCCCCTCCACCCCCTCCTCCTCCTCCTCCTCCTCCTCCCCCCCTCAAACCCGAAGCTCGTCCTCCTCCTCCTCCTCCTCCTCCTCCTCCTCCTCCTCCTCCTCCTCACTCCTCCTCCTCCTCCTCCTCCTCCTCCTCCTCCTCCTCCTCCTCCTCCTCCTCCTCCTCCTCCTCCTCCTCCTCCTCCTCCTCCTCCTCCTCCTCCACCTCCTCCTCCTCCCTCCTCCTCCTCCTCCTCCTCCTCCTCCTCCTCCTCCTCCTCTTCCTCCCCTCCTCATCTGCATGGGGGCAACGGGTCCCGAGGGAAGCGGGTCCTGGACCCTGGGGCCTTCCCCCAGGACGAGACATCCTCCTCCCGAGCCGCTTCCTGGCAGCCCCAGGGCCCGCGGAGGGCGGGCCCCGAAGGCCTCGGGACCCGCTTCCCCCCTGGCGGCCCGCGGATCCCAGCGGCAGGGCCCAACCTGACAGGGAGGAGGACGAGGACGAGGACGAGGAGACGAGGACGAGGAGGAAGAGGAGCAGGAGGAGGAGGCGGAGGAGGAGGAGGAGGAGGAGGGGGAGGAGGAGGAGGAGGAGGAGGAGGAGGAGGAGGAGAAGGGGGAGTCGCCGCCCCTCCAGCGAGGAGCGCGTCGCGCAGCCAAGGCGCGCCGCGCCGGAGGCGGCGCGCCCAGGATTGGCGAGGGCTGGCGCCGCGGCGGAGGCGGCGAAGTGCCCCCAGCAGGTCGAGGGTAATCCTCCTTCTCCCCCTCCTCCTCCTCCTTCCCCTCCTCCTCCACCTCCCTCCTCCTCCTCCTCCTCCTCCTCCTCCTCCTCCTCCTCCTCCTCCTCCTCCTCCTCCTCCTCCTCCTCCTGGGCCAAACAGGGAGGCCCGAGCGGGGGGGGCGGCGGAGAGGGAGGAGGGAGGAGGGATAGGGGAAGGGGGGAGCAGGGAGGGAGGGTGGATGGGAAGGAGCAAGGAGGGAGGGGGGAGGGAGGGAGGAGAGGGGGATGGAAGATGAGCGAGAAGGGAGGAGGGAGGAGGAGGCGGAAGGAGGGGGGGCAGAGGAAGGAGTCGGGCGAAGAGTGGAAGGCAGGAAAAAAGAGAGAGAGAGAGAAGAGAGAAAGAGAAAGAGAAAGAGAGAGAGAGAGAAAAGAAAATATAAATCTATATATATATAGAGAGAGAGAGAAAGAGAACAACAAGCATAAAATAATATAAATAATAAATGCACAATATGCCGTCCTGCCCCTTCTTGAGGTTGATCTTGCCACCCTCCTTGAAGAAGCCGGTGCGGATCTCAGGTCCTCCCACACGCGAGGGGCCGAGGGAGAGGGAGCCAAAGTCGGACAGAGGAGTGAGGAGTGGAGAGGATGGAAGAGGGAGGGTGGATTGACGGAGGGCGGAGGGAAGGAGGGACGGAGAGAGGGGAGGGAACCAAGCTCGGCTCCTTCATTGAGGGAGGGAGGGAGGAAAAGGGAGGGGAGGGAGGGGGAGAGGACAAGCTAGGTACCCCTCCCTCCCATCCCTTACCATGGCGCAGATCCCCTCTCTACTCGCTCAGTCGGATGTCGAGCAGGGCAATGATCCCGAAAGGGTACGCGATGCATTGTAGAGCACGGCATGGCATGGCGTAGAAGAGCACCGCAAAGCGTAGCATCAACCTAGCATTGCATTGCATGCCGTGGCATGGCACGGGAAATGACGCCAGTGCTGCAGCGGGAGCACGAGTCGAAACGAGCGGAAGCGCGGAAATGAGGCCAGCGCTGCAGCGGGAGCACGATTCGGAACGAGCGGAAGCAGGGAAATGAGGCCAGCGCTGCAGCGGGAGCACGATTCGGAACGAGCGGGGCCCGAAAATGAGGCCGGCGCCTCAGCGAGAGCAGCATTTTGAAAAAAAATGCAAGCGAAAACCCAACTCCGGGGAAACCTGTGTAAAAAAAACAATACGCGGG